ATTTTACATAAAAGAGGAACATTGATGCTGAGAATCTATATATATGAAAAGATAGGGAGAAATCCCCAATTTTGACTAAAACCCTAATTTCTAATTGAATAGAAAATAGTAGTTAAGTTGAAAATTTCTTAAAGTCCTGGGATCTCATGAACCATAAGTGATGAAAGATGAGGATATTGTTATGGCAATGAAATTGTGGCTTGTGGATTGATTCATCTTGAGTGTTGTGCTTGTGTTTCATCTCGTACAATGTTGAATACTTGTTGATTGAGTAAAAGTTTGGCAAATTGATTAAGAGTCAGTTTTGATGTGGTTGTGTGTGTTGGTACCCGTGCAGGGAGTTAAGGTGCCCAATTGCCCTGTCTGAGCTTCTCCTCGGACGACTGTGGGAAAATGTTTTTGGGTGTCCACTGGTCCTGCCGTATTGTAGGTGGTAAAAGTGGAAAAATGGATGATTTTGGGTGCCCACGTCCTGCCATATAATAGTCGGTAAATGTCGGTATGGTTTCTAAATGAAAGTGACATGAATTTTTTATTCAGATTCTTATAGACGATTCATGGTATTTTTCCTTTCTGATATGATGATGATCAGTGTGAGCTAGAAATATGATTATCCAATTGTGCATTCATTTACATAATTAACTATGCTTGTATATGTATTTCAATCACTTATCTTGTCTTGTCTCAATGGTGCCGTAAGGTCATTCAAATGATTAAATACTTGGTTAAATGTATTCCTACTGGGCATATAACTCAACCCTATTTAAATTTTCAAGACATGATGACGTAACACCACAGTGATGACTTGAAGTAAGTGGTCATTTAGTTTGGGATTGCTAGCTCGAGGATATTTTGTTGCCAAGGCTTAGAGCTTTGTAACAAGACTTTTAAATTTGTTTTGTTGTTGTCGTCTTGTACGCCTTTAGGACTTTTCTCTTTTGGCAATGTCATCTAGTTCATTGAACTTGGGAATTAGTCTAAAGTATCTTCAGAATGTAACTTTGAAATTATAATTTCCTGAATCTTAGTTCAATGAGAAAGATGATTTGTGGGTATATTACTGAGAGGGGAGATTTGCACTTGACTGTACGGCCGAGCTGAGATAACGTCAGACGTGACGGACCGCATAGCGCCGAGCTAATCTCTGTTGACATGGCCAGCGGCCTGCCTTGCACGGTCGGAAATATTGACCGGTCAGGTACCAACCGGCACAGCTGAACTGCGTCTTGAACGTGTTGGACGGAGCTTGGGTTAGTGGATGCTGACCGGGCTAAAAGGTAACCTGAGCTAGTCCGTGGGCGCGATCAAGGCCGGTGCACTTTCGATCGGTCAGTCGATATAAAGTGGCTTCGTACGACCGAGATTGAAGGTAGACCGGTTGGAGGTCGGCATGCCTCGTAACTGGATGGTCATGATGAACCGACCAATGATGGTTCGGCCGAGGTGGGCAGGCTTTCGCCTGATTCCAAGTTATAGGTCTGCGACGCTTAGCTCGGTTATGAGCATGTAATAGCGACTCTCCACAAGTGACAGGCCGGTCGTGGTACTCCGGTTAAGTATGCCACCTGGGCCAATGGCGTGAAGGAGAGGACATCCGCTCCACGCACGCCTCAATACTGTTGGGCAGTTCTGTGTGTACTGGAGGGAGGACTAAGCCTTTACACGCGTAAGGTGGTGAGAGGCGAGCACTACCACCTGTCCAGGGAAGGACAGCAGAGGTAGTGCGCGCACAATCTTGAGGCTGCATGGCCAGCCTAGAAATAGGGAGGAAGAGAGGCGTTGGAGGTAAGCGAATTCATCCTACCAAAAATTCTCTCCCTGATAGCCTTCTTCTTCAGCTAGTGGTCTGACTTGATCGTCGGAGGGTCTTTCCGGCACACCACCGCCGGGTAGCTCACCATTTTTGTGTTGCAGAGATAGACGCCGTTACAAGAAGCTTGACGACCAAGGAGTACGGAGAACAGAGGATATTTCGCCCTTGTACAATTGGCACCATCTGTGGGAAGTTTTTTGATACTCAACCCTTGTTCTCAGAGCTTCTTCGACCATTTCCATGGCCAACAATGGTGAAGCCCCACTGTCCGTGGTCAATGGCGTCACCCCTGAGTACGTCCGCTTGAGAGAAGGTCCTCTGAATATTCCAGCCATGGCAGGCCTAGAAACTCCTTCGCGGAGTGCCCGAGACAAACACGGAAGGAGTGCCGATCGCTCGCAGAGTCCTGGGGGCCGCAGACGCCGGGGGGAGTCCCAGGCGCAGCGCCTGGAGCACAAACTCAAGGACCAAGGCGCCGTCATTCGCAAGATGGCGGCGGAGATGTAGCTACTGAAACGCCAGATCAAAGGGAAGGGTGTTGCTGGAGAGGGCAACCTCAGTGAGCGCACCCCGTCCCCTCGTTGGAGTAGTCGCCGCCAGGGGAGGACCCACTCTCTCTCCATCACCAGGAACTAGGGGGTTGGGGGCTCCAACCAGGGAGAGAGCAGGTCCCTCTCTCGCGATGACACATACCGCCCCTCACGCTCGACGCCGACGTCGGGATCCTCTTTCTCCACACGTTCCAAGGACTTGAGGGATGTATTGGAAGAGAGGGCACGCTGTCGGGAGGCTCGAAGAGTGCCGGCATTGCAGAGGTTAAGCGCTCCAGTGCGTTACAGTGAGGAAGTGGCGATGCCACCCCCCAAAGTGATGGCCCCTGCGCTGGAGGACAAAGAGCTAGCGCGACTTACAGCCACACCGCTGTCTCCAAAGATTGAGAGTACGCCACTCCCCGCCGGATTCCACCAGCCAAAGTTCACTTTGTACGACGGCAAAACGGATCCGTACATGCACGTGAGTCATTATCGGCAGGTGATGGCTGGCCACCGGCGCAACGACGCTCTGATGTGTCTCATATTCCCAGCAAGCTTGGGAGAGCTGGGTCTGAAGTGGTTTGAAAGGCTCCCGGAGGGGAGTATAGAGGGGTGGCAACAGCTAGCAGAAGCCTTCGTCACCAGATTCAAGACCAACACTCGAACGCCGAATGAGGTCGACCATCTCCTGGGCGTCAAGATGGAGTCTGGGTGTTCATTGAAGGCATACAATGCGAAGTACTGGAAACTTACAATGAGATCCTCGACTGCCCCACCAATCTGGCGATCACTCAGTACAAACGGGGTCTCGCAGTCGGACATAGGCTGCGAGATTCACTCACGATATATCAACCTACAACCATGGAGTCATTGATGCAGCGGATCAATGAGCACATTCGTGTGGAGGATGATACCGCCTCCGCGACCGAGAAGGTTAATCCGGTTGTGGCGAACATGAGGGTCGTGGGGAAAGTTCACTCGGTTGGGCAGGAGGATAGCCGCCCAAACAACCGGTCGAAAGACCAGCACCATGGTCCAAACCGTGATGACAGAAACAAGGGGCGCCGAAATGACCGGGCTTACCCCCCCCGTGATGCAGCGGAGGATGCCAAAAGAAAATTGAAGGCACGGACTGGGATCACCACGGTGTTTAAAATCCCCATCTACTGCATTCTGAGCGAGATTCGAAGCGAACCTTTCGTCCGTTGGCTGGCCAAGTTGGGGAGTGCACCTTTCATGAAGAACGGGGGCACCGAACAGAGGACTGCCTGCCGCTCAAGCAACACTTAGAGGAGTTGGTAGCGGCGGGGCATCAAGGCCACGCCAGCAGACCAAGTCGAGCCAAACAGCCTAGCCGCCCTAGAAGCGCCTCCGCAAGGTGTAATCAACGTCATCCACGGAATCATTGAACCGGCCAGGGTTTGCGAGCTGAGGGGGATGATCAAGAAGGCCGAGCACATGGGGGAAGTGCTCTCTATTCAGCCCGCTGTGAAGAAAGGAAAGACCGAAGAAAGGGACATCCTTTCATTCTCAACCAAGGACTTGGAAAGAGTTCAGATGCCGCACAATGATGCCTTAGTAGTCACTCTTCGCGTCAAGTTCTTTGATATCAAGAGAATCTTGATCGACCAGGGGAGTTCGATCGAAATCATGTATTATGATGCGTTCAAACAGATGAAGTTAGAAGACAAGGACTTGGCCCCTGCGACGTCTCCTTTAGTCGGCTTCAACTCACAGCCGGAGTGGCCAATCGGAAAGATTATTTTTCTGGTCAAAGCGGGTTCAGTAGTAAAGCAAGTGGAGTTCTGGGTGCTCAAAGTTCCTTCCACCTACAACTTGATCTTAGGTAGGGGCTGGCTGTACGCCATGCAAGCAGTTGCCTCGACCTTCCACCAAGTCATGCGCTTTCCGGCGTCGAGCGGGCAAATAGAGGAAGTTTGGGGAGACCAGGTGATGGCAAAACAATGCTTCATTGCGGTAAATGGCAGCCGAGCAGCCAATGGGTTTGTCCAAATGATCGAGGGGCCCGAGGAAAAAGAGGTCCTTGAAGACGTGGGAAGGAAGGCCGAGGAAAAATCGGTCGAAGATTTGGTGGAAGTGCGCTTTGACGAAAACGACCCAACTAAATTCTTCCTCTTGGGGTCATCTTTGTCTAGCGCCGAGCAAGCGGATTATGTCAACTTCTTGGTTTCCAATTTAGAGGCCTTTGCCTGGATGCCTTACGACATGCCTGGCGTCGACCCGAGCTTCATCTGTCATCAGTTGAATGTTTTCCCCAACGCACGGCCAGTCATTCAAAGGACGCGCCGTTCAGCCCTGCACCATGCTGAAGTGGTGGCGGAAGAAGTGAAGAACTTGTTGGAAGCCGGGGCTATAGAAGAAGTGCAATACCCTCGGTGGATATCCAACACGATGGTTGTTCCCAAGAAAAATGACAAGTGGTGAGTTTGCGTTGACTACAAGACTGTCAACCGGGCTTGTCCTAAGGACAGCTTTCCCCTTCCTCGAATTGACCAGCTGGTGGACTTGACCGCTGGCCATCAGAGGTTTAGCTTCCTGGACGCTTATCGCGGCTACAACCAGATAGCCATGTACAAACTGGACAGAGAGATTACATCGTTCACCACCCCAGAGGATTATATTGTTACAAAGTCATGCCGTTCGGACTAAAGAACGCCGGAGCAACCTTTCAGCGGATGGTTACTAAAATGTTCGCTCCTCTCTTGGGCCGAACAATGGAGGCCTACATCGACGATATGGTGGTAAAGAGTAAGGAGAAGTCTAAACACCTCACCGACCTAGCAAAAATGTTCGCCATACTTAAGCACCATAAGCTTCGTCTGAATGCCTCCAAATGCGCCTTCGGAGTTGGCACTGGAAAGTTTCTGGGTTTTCTGGTTACAAACCGAGGGATCGAAGCCGACCCATCCCAGATCAAAGCGATACAAGAGCTGGAGCACCTGAATTCTACAAAGGACGTGCAACATCTTGCCGGGATGGCCGCTGCGCTGAACAGATTCATTAGCCGGTCTTCGGATCGTTGCAGGCCCTTCTTCAAAACTCTGAAGTCTAAGTTCTTCTGGGATGAAGAGTGCGACCGTGCACTGGCGGACTTAAAAGCGTATCTCTCCTCAGCCCCAATTTTGGTCACGCCTCAGCCGGGCGAAGAGCTGTACCTCTACTTGGCTGTTTCTCAACACGCGGTGAGCGCGGTATTGATTCGTGCTGAAGGCATCCAGCACCTACCAATCTTCTATGTAAGCAAGACCCTGCTCCCGGCCGAAACAAGATATCTTCCCTTGGAGAAATTGGTGTTGGCCCTAATGACGGCATCGAGAAACCTGGCACACTATTTTCATGCCCATACAATAGTTGTGCTGACCGAATTCCCTCTCAAGGTGCTCTTTGAGAAGGCCGACTTCACCGGGAGGATTCTAAAGTGGGCCGTGGAATTGGGGCAGTATGACATCAGGTTCCGCCCGCGCACCGCGGTCAAAGCTCAAGCTCTTGCAGATTTTGTGGCGGAATTTGCCCCTAGGACGCATCCAGTTTGCCCGATTGATTTGGTTGGTGCGGATTTAGCACAACCCAAGGTTTTGGCAACTAGGGGCACAGTTGAGTCAGGCTTCCTATCTTTCTCCCGTTGTCAATGCATCTGCCAGAAAGGGCACTCTACCTGCCAGAAAAGGGCACCACTGAAGCTGACCGCAAAAGGGCAGAAGGCTCTCACACCCTCCACGCAACGAGGTATCAAGCCAAGTGCGAAGCACGAACGGGAACGGATCAAGATATTTCACTCCTTTGTTTGGACAGATCTAATCACGTCTAAACTCCCCAATAAGAGCATCGTCAACCAATGTCGATTGCAAATCTGCTGCACATCCAGTCGCATTGCAACCCCTTTGTGGGAGAAAGTTCACTATTGTGAGCAGAAGAAGAGAATCTAGCAGAATGCTTGGGGCAAGAACCCGCAACTTCTTGTTTATTCATCAACCACCCTGGGGAGGGATGAAAAATGAGAGATTAAAGAATAGAGAGATGTGCGTTGAGAGGAAAAGTAAGAAAAGGGCTTTTTCAGAAAACTAGAGATTGAGTGCCGAGTGATGTGAGAATCACAAGTGAGAAAGGGTGGGAAACAATACCCGGGGAAATAGGCTCCATGTGCACATTTGAGTCTTGTGTTTTATTTTGTCTGTCTCGATTCTTGTTTTGAGTCGCTTCGAGTATTACTTGATGTGTTTAGGTTGTTTACCTTTGTTTTTCCCTTGTCGAGTCGTTTTGGCTGTGGCCAGTCGTCGGCTCAATACCCGGTTAAGAACCCATTTCTCGATTTCCAAAAAAAATCATCTTATGCTCAGAGTGCTGTGCTATTCTCCACATTTGTGCAAAACAGTATTTGTTCTTTCATAAAACTGCATGGTCCACCCCCCATAAGTGTGAACAGTAGAACAAGGACCTATCTGAAGCTATGTAGGTTCCAGACTGCAGAGCAAAAGAATAAAGGAAAATTTGGAGCATCTTAGGGTGTTCCAGCTTTGGCAAGATCCGAGACTGCATTTCAGGTGCACCTTCCCAGACCTCGCCATTTCTCTGGAGTATGAGTGTATCTCGACCCCAAGTGTAAGCATGCTTCAAGTCAGAATGGCAATTAAAGCAGCAGGAGATATTAAAGCAGCAGCAGATGTTATCTCTTGCCAACATAAACAGGGTGTGCCCTTTTTGAGCTGAGTGTATTACAAAGTCCTCCGAAAGGTAAATCAGAGGCACCAGAGTACATGTTTGATGCCCTTCCATTGCATAGAATGTGCACTTTCATATACGCTTCGGTTACATGCATGTCGCGCAACGTTATGATTCATGCATATGATATGCTTGCTTTCGATTCTGCATAGAATTTGCTTTCAATATTGCATAAAATATACTCCTGTTTCTTGCATAGAAAATGCTCGTATCTTTTGCATAGAAAATGCAATCTTCCATACTTGCATAGAAAATGCACCTCATTTGCATAGAACATGCATTCACTCGCACTGTCTTGTGCACTTACACTTCGTATCTCACTAGCATTGTCTTGTGCATCTTGTGGTTGTATCTCACTCGCACTATTTTGTGCATTGCATTTCAATCGCGCTGTTTAGCGTATCGCACTGTTTAGTGCATTTCAAATCAATCGCGCTGTTTAGCATATCGCACTGTCTTGTGCATCTCTAAATCAATCGCGCTGTTTAGCGTATCGCACTGTCTTGTGCATTTCAAAATCACTCGCGCTATTTAGCGTATCACACTGTTTAGTGCATTTCAAATCAATCGCGTTGTTTAGCGTATCGCACTGTCTTGTGCATTTCAAAATCAATCGCGCTGTTTAGCGTATCGCACTGTCTTATGCATTTCAAAATCACTCGCCCTGTTTAGTGTATCGCACTGTTTAGTGCACTTCAAATCACTCGCACTATTTTGTGTATCGCACTGTTTTGTGTAGCTATATTCGCGCTATTTTGCGCACCTCAATCGCACTGTTTTGTGCAGTTTATCATTCGCGCTATTTTGCGCATTGCACTGTTTTGTGCAGTTTACTTTCGTACTATTTTGCGCATCGCACTGTTTTGTGCAGTTTACATTTCGCGCTATTTTACGCAGCTCAATCGCACTTTCTTGTGCATTTCAAATCACTCGCATTGTCTTGTGCATTTCAAATCACTCGCGCTTTCTTGCGCATCGCACTGTTTTGTGCATCACATTGCTTCATTCGTGCTATTTTGTACATCGCACTATTTTGTGCAGTTTACACTCGCGCTCTCTTGCGCATCGCACTGTCTCGTGCATTTCATTACATGCTCTCTCTCATCTTGCATAGAAAATGCTTGTAGCATTTGTCAGTGCATTGCGTCGCACTATTTTTTGCACCTTACTTGCATTTTGCATGCATTCCATCGCGCTATCTTGCAGTCGAAATGCGTGGGTAAGGGTTGAATCTAAGCTTTGGTACCAAGTTGTGATGCCTCAAATTTTGGAAACATCAAGGTAATATAATACGACAATACACCAGGGTTTAACTAGCAGATACACAACATCATACAAGGAATTACGCACAAAATATAAGTAATTACACTAAAAGCAAATATTGATAATAGTTACAGATAAAATTCTTCAAGTCATTAAATACAAATCAGTTCCTTGATAAAAAAAGATTAACCAAAATATAGGAAATACAAAATCTACTCTCTAAGGCAGCCATGTGTAGACAACCCATTTTTGACCGCCCTTAAGACTTGGGCGCTACTGATAGTTTACTTGGTGGTGAAAGTTGTGCAATGCAAGGGTTTGATTTCTTCGGCAAGGAGAGAGTCAAATCCCAACATCACACCCCTTTTGGACCAAAACTATTGTGAATGGTTTTTAGACCTTAAAACCCTCTCTTTCAAAACATTTTTGAAAATAGTTTCCTGCGATGTTCCGACGCTTGTATTTTGTTAAATGTCGTGCTTTTCGGTAAACCGAGCAAGGACAAAGTGGAAATGAATGAAAGAGAGATGAAATCTTTGAAAAATCTTTCAAAACACCTTGCTTAGGGGTTTGAAGTTGAAGAAAAGAGGAGAAGAGGGGAGAAGCCAAGTTGGAGAAGAAGATAGGCAAGAATTGCTAAGAGAGGGACGAGCAGTCCTCGCTAAATCAAGCTTATTTGTCTATACACTTTGCGTTAAGGTATGAGGCCACCACCGTTGGAAAGAAGACTTCCGGGGCTTCATGTTTCATTCAAGAATCTCTTAAATCCGAGACTGGAGGGCGGAGATATGATTGGTTGAAGTTGGGCATCATCCCGGTTGGACCGAAACTGAGCAGCCTTCACTAAAAAAGCATAACTTTTTTCACAGTGGGAATTTTGATGCAAGGCTGGTGCCATTGGAAAGATTACTTCCGGGGCTTCAATTTTTACACAAGAATGACCTGAAAATGAGTTCATATGAAGAAGTTATGCCCGTTTGAAGTTGAACCTGCAGAGCAGATTTTTCCTGCCGACCGGCCAAAACAAATGGCCGACCGACCAAATAGATGGCCGACCGGCCAGAAAAGATGGCTGACTGACCAAGTTTTCTAGTCGATGACCTTCCGGAGTATTCTACAGATTGAATGGATACCAGCTGTGCCAGCTGGAATGCACAGACTCTGCTCCCCATGCATGTGTGTGGCTGTTTTGCACCCTTTGCACCCCTTTTGACCCTCTTTTTTGCACCCTTTGCTCAAAGCTTATTGAGGAAGCTTTGACCCCTTGTCTTGGCTTCCTCAAGAAGCTTGCACCTTTGCATTAGCTTCTCTTAGAAGCTTGGTCCCTTTGACCCTTTTGTATAGCTTCTTTGAGAAGCTTTATGCCATTTCCTTGCTCTATAAAAGAAACCCATCCTCCTCCATTGTTTTGGTTGAGAAAAATCAGACCTAATACATACATATAACATATATATCACCCTCTCTCTCTATATCTCCCTCTCTCTCTACATTTGGGTGTGTTAGAGTGTTCAAAGACCCTTGTTCTTGGCCTATTTGCACTACACCCTATAGCACCACACCACCACTCCATTCCAGCAGCTTGGAGGGCCTTCTCAGAGGCTAGTAGGCAGCTTTTTTTGGTCCAAGAGGTAGCAAAGGATTGGTCTTCAAGGGTGAGTTGATTTCTCCCTCTTTCAAGCTCATTTTTGCAAGTTTTCTTAGCCCCTTTTGCTTGCTGTTTTGAGCTCCGACCATAACTGGAAATATCATTTTTTTGAGCTCATTTTTCTGTTTCATTAGGGTCTTACCCTGTTTGGGACCCCCATCTTGCACTTGCTTCATTACCCCTTTGTATGCCATAATCTTGAATAGTATTTTTGGCCTATGTGTGATCTGTTTTGGAGCATGATGTAAACTGTAGATAGGCTTATTTTGAGCCCTTCTTCAACATTGAAGAAGGGCTCATCACTGTTTGGGACCTCCATGTGCCACTTGTCATTATACCCCTCTTTGGTCCCCATTTTTGCATGATTTATTAGCCTATTGTGTCTCTATTTTTGGACTTTGATCCGAACTGAAAATGGCCCTATTTTGACCCCCTCTTCATGTTTCATTAAGGGTCCATGGCTGTTTGAGACACCCTTTGTATACTTTATGTTGTAGCTCTTTTTTGGCCTTAATCTTGCATAGTATTTTGAGCATACTTGTATACTATTTTGGGCTCGGCCATCAACTGTAAAAGGTCATATTTTGGGCCCCTCATAAACATTGTTGAAGGGTCCTAATCTGTTTGGGGTCAGCAGCTGTGAGTTGCTTCTTTATCTCACATTTAGGGCCATTTTTGCATGCTAGTTTTGCCCTATGTGTGTTTGCTGTTTGGCCTTGTTTAAAACTGAAAAAATGCTTGTTTTGGGGCAGCCTAGAATCTGTCCTCACATGTCGTAATCGAATAATGCATGTTTTATATAGCTATAGGCCAATGCATGGGCCTAGTTTTGCATTTCGGTTTCATTTCATGCATCGGGTGCTATTTTGCCGTGATTCGGGGCTGTTTTGTACCACATTTCAATGCTGAAATTACATGCTTGTATGCCATATTTCATGCCTCGCCATGCCTTGTTAGAGTTTCATACTATGCCTTAGGTTTGGTCCTCGGTTTGCGTGCATGCGTGCACGCGTTTCGAAAGTCTCATTTTCATCTAATGGCCACCAATTTTGGCATGCTTGCGAGCTATCCATGTTAGTTTTAATCCATCATCGCATGTTGTTGCATGCCATGTTTAAGGCATTCAAAGCATGAAAGAAGTGGGAACATGGCAATGTGATAAGCTCTGAAATAAAGTATTAAATGATGCCAAATCATCTAAATAGCTCAAAGATAGCATGCATGAGTCAACAAAACACAAAGCTAGCAAGGCCAATTGCACTACAGCTATA